TCTTGGGCTACAGATAACACTAGAAAGCTGGTGACATCCAGGAAGACAGGGAAGCACCCTCATCTGGAAGTCAGCCAACGGTCAACGAGGCCCCAGTCAGTGCATGAAGACTGGTAATACATCTGTGGAACTAGACAGACAAAAAAGAGTTCTCAAATAGAGACATAAAGGAGGGTCATCAAACATCTGAAACTAGCCAATGGTCAACGCCTCCCCAGTCAGTGCATGAAGCCTGGTAATTCATCTATGGAACTAGACAGACAAAAAGGAGTTCTCGAATACAGACACAAAGGAAGGTCATCAAACATCTGAAACCAGCCAAGGGCAAACTCAAAAGTCAGAATTGCCCTGGAGAGTAAATATAGTTACCCTATTTAGTTATACTCCATATAGTTATGAAGCAAATTAAATGAGACTTAGAATTAGTATTGACAATATCCTCAGGAAAATTCAAATGCAAGAAAAGGTTAAAAGTTAAGGGACAGAAAAAATATGTATACTTTATAGATCAGAAAAAGAAATATTCTGAATATATTCATAAATAGTGATCAAACAAATGCAAAACCCCAAATCGGGGCTGAGAAAAGTCAAGCTGCCTGAGGTGGGGGCTGTCAGTGATCACAGGTGGGCTCTTAGCTTGGGCATTTCTGGCTGTGACAAAAAGGCCACTAAACAACTGAAAGCTGATCTCGTCATGAATTTTGTTTCTTTCTGAAACTTTAATTCTGTTTCGTTTTGTTTTTAATGTTAAAAAAATGGGTACCAAATGGGAAGGAAAAAAAAAATGGTCAAAACCTCAAACATTCATTGCATAAAAGTAAAATAATGGGCTGGATTGTGCTGAAGCTTCAGTTAACTTCTCCAACAGATAAGATAAAAGGGAACAGCTCTGAACACGAACAATGTGTCAGACAAGTAATAAGAATGACAGCATTACAGTATCACAGATAGATGAGGAAAATGAGGCACAGAGAAGCTATGTAACATGCTGGATGTTACTACACTAGTAGATAGCAGAGACACTGTATATCCAGGTCTGTTGGACTGTAGGTGGCACTTTTAACCACTATGCATTATTGCTTCCACTTTATCAAGTGTGGTAACTCAGTGGCTATAGCAGGAAACACTATGGACATGGCCTCTGTCTTCCTGAGGTTTACAGTTGAGTGTACATTATCACACATCAATGCCAGGACAAGTCAGGATTGTTCACAGATACACTGGGAGAGGAAAGCTGAGACAGATAGATAGATGATAGATAGATAAATAGATAGACAGATACATAGATAGGTAGATAACACTTGGAATAGATATATATTACATTTATACATTATATAATATGTATGTGTTATATATAACAATCATAACACAAAAAGGGGGAAGAAGATAAAATTAAGTTAGCATAAACCTAGAAGTAGATTCTGAGGTGTTAAAATGCATATGCTAAGTCTGCTACTATGAAAATAATGCAAAAAATTAAAAAATTCTTTTAAAAAATTAAAATGTTATACTAAAAATATTCACTTAAATCAAAAGAAAACAGTAGAGGAGATCAGAGGAGATCAGGAAAAAGAGATGAAGCATATAGAAAACAAAAAGTAGAATGTCAGATGTAAATCCAATTATATCAGTGGTAACATTAAATGTCAATGAATTGAACAATCCAATAAAAAATAGATCCAACTATATCCTGTCCATAATAAACATACTTTAGATTCAAACATACAAATAGGTTGAAAATAAAAAATGGAAAAAGATGTATGATGCAAATAGCAACTAAAGACAGTTGGAGTGGCTACATGATATTAAACAAAACTCACAGTAAAAAAAATTACTAAAGATAAAGATTGATATTTTATGGTCAACCCATCAGGAAGATATAACAATTAAAACTTATAAGTACCTAACAACAAAGACCAAAATACATGGAGAAAACCTGACAGAATTAAAGGGAGAAATAGACAACAATAATTCATAGAAACTTCAATAATCTATTTTCAATAATGAGTATAACCCAAAATAAATGAAAACATTCACACAAATGTCATAGCAGCATTATCTGATAACCAAAAAAACAGATACAACCCAAGTGTCCATCAACTGATGAATGGGTAAACAAAACATAGCATATCCATACAATGCAATATTATTCAACTTTAAAAAGAAATGTCTACCAGTACATGCTACAACACAGATGAACCTAGAAAGTATCATGCTAAGTGAAAAAAGCTAGTCACAAAAACCATACACATATATTGTATAATTTAATTTATATGGAATATCTGAAATAGACAAATTCATAGAACAGAGAGTAGATGAGGATTTTCCAAGGATGATGGCAGGAGAAAATTAAGACTGACTGCTAAGGGGTATAAGGTGTCTTTTGGGGATGATGGAAGTGTAGTGGAATTACATGTGGTAATGGTTGTACAATAAAATGAATATATTAAAAACTACTAAATTATACACTTTAAAATGATTAATTTCATGTTATATGAATTATATTTCAATAAAAGGAAGAGGAAGGGAAAAAGCAGGAAGAAGGAAGGTATAAGTATTTCATTTTAGAAAAAACTAGGGGAAATAGTCTCAAGAAGGAGGAAGTTGTCATGAGTATGAAAATTTATGAGAGTAACAAGTTAAATAAGAATTCAAAGGATCCCTTGGATTCAGGAGTCTCATTGAAATCCAAAATGTGTGGCTTGCAAAGGGATTGGGTGATTTAAAAAAACAGAAACAGTTTGAGATATTGTATTGTGTATTGTATTGTGTAAAAAAAAAAAAAAAGGATAGTGATGTGCTATGAAGTTAATGTTTGTGTCTTCCCAAAATTTATATGTTAAAGCCCTCATCCCTAGTATGATGGTGTTTGGAGGTGGACCTTTAGGAGGTAATTGGATCTTGAGGTTGAAACCCTCATGAATAGCCTGACCTGCTTCACATTGTTCTGTGGGAATTGAGACTCAGAAAACCAAAGTAAATGTGGGGATGCTTATGCTGCTTGTTGCGCTGTGAATAATAAAGTCATTTATCTCTGTAAAAAATAATGGATAGAACAACTCAGCAGACTAGTTCAAGAAGACTCCCACAACACTATAAACCCACTAGGACGAACAGATGCTCTATTGAACACCTCAAATCAGCAGAATATATATTCTTCTCAAGTGCCTATGAACCATTTTCTAGTACAAACTATGTGTTATGCCATAAAACATAAATGTAAAAGGACTGAGATAGTACAAAATATGTTCTCCAATCACAACAAAATAAAATTAGAAATCAATAACAGAAAAAATTGGAACTTACAAATATGTAGAAGTTAAATGACAGTTCTTAATACCAATAGATTAAAGAAGAAATCAAAAGAGAAATTAAAAATATTCTAAGATGAATGAAAATAAAGGCATAATGTACCAAAACATATGGGATGCCATGAAACTAATGCATAAAGGCAAATTTATAAATGCCTGTATTAAAAAAGAAATAAGAGCTCATATCAACAGCCCAACCACTGGGAGCACCTTAAAACACTCTAGAGCAGCTAAATCTAAAACAAGCAGAAGAAAGGTAATAATAAAACCAAAAGTTGTGTATTTGAAAAGATTAACAAAAATTGGAAAATCTTTAGCTGGTCAAGAAAAAGAATACAGAAGACTAAACTTACTAAAATCAGGAATAAAAGAGGAGATATTACCACTGAACCTACACAAACAAATGAAAGGATGCATCAGACTGTGGTTACCAACTTTTCCAAAGTGAAACTGAACACAACTTTCCTATTCTCCAGCATCGGTCTATTTGAAGCACAGAATTAAAAACTGCTTACAAAGCCGTTACCGAAAGCTACGAAGTTTTGTAGCTTTTAAATTGCTTGAACTTCTGCCAATGTAGGACAAAAGGTGCCACAGCCTATCTACACAAGCTGTTCCCATCTCCCACTGGAAAGAAGAACTTGACGATAACAAAGACTTGGAGAGGGCCAAAATTAAAATCAAAATGGTAACATTGCAGCAATTACACAAAAACAAAATGATCCACAAAAGTAAAACTTATGAATTTATATTTATTAGTTCAGGAATAGCAGCAATTGAAACTGTGACCCACTCATGCTAACATTGATGGTGCAGATAATATAGTCCAGTCTGAGAATTATGGAAATCTTTCTGGGCAACAGGCACAATGGGAATTTTATAGCATTCCGTGGCAGCCAGATGCTTTGTAATAGAGTTTTCAGTAAACTCTGGCAACTGACGAATTTTATGTTATGACCACCCAATTTAAGAACCCTTAGTATTTACTCAGTGATATAAGTTTATATAATTATGCATTAGCCACCCATAAGGGTCAAAGACTTACAAGAAAAGGAGCCTCAAGTCCCATTCATGTTTGACAGATTTTATTTTGAGAATCACTGCTTTAGAACTATCTGTGAGTTACCATTTTTGTACTTGGACATATGACAGCATCATCAGAGCCTTCTTTCTGTCTTTTTAGAGAAAATAGTAAGATTGACTTGATTACACGCCTTCTGTAAGTTCAAAGCTCTTCCTATAATTTCTATAAATTTCTGGGGGTGGAATGCAAGTGGGCCACACTTTACAATCATCGTGACCTCTTTCTTTTGATTTTCTCTTTTGTGTGAGAGATCTCTGTGCTGTGCCACAGCAATGCAGATGTGAGTGAGCCTCTGCCTTCTTCTAAAATCATCAACAACAAAGTCCCCTCAGAAAAATGTTTCATGAAGATTTATGGGAAGACAGAGGAGTGATATGACAGTAAACAAACACTTTCAAATAAAAGAATAAGTTTCTGTGCTTAAAATAGTCTTCACCCATCTCTCTCCTTGCTTTCTCCTCTTCTCCTCCCCTCCTCCACAACCTTGGAGTTTGGCTAACGCTCTTCACCTTTGCTAGCTGGTCTTCATCTTGCTTCTCCTCTTGATTCTCTTCTCTGTTTTTGGTTTTCTTCTCTCCTCTGTTTAGAACAACAAACCAGCTCACCTGATTCTCTCAGGGGAAGAGCTTTGATATTTTTCTGAAGCTATGTCACCTGTGAATGAATTCTCAGGACCTTGGGGGTCTCACCTTTGCTTTATGCCCAGGAATGTTTCCTGGAAAATTAACTGTGACTGGCATACAGGATTATGTAAGACCGTGGCAGAAGACACCACCACCTTGTCATTACAGGTGGCATTTTCTAAGACATGCAGAGATTTTCCCAGAAAAAGGTAGAGAAAATGTGTTGTGGAGCAAAACTTGGGTGTTTACTAAATATTTACTGTGGAAGAATGAGTTAGTGGAACAGGTAAGTCATGAAGAAAAGAGAGAATGGTCAATAAAGTTACCCCAGGTGGAGTTAGGGGGACAGGATCAAAATTTAAGTGGATAAGTTAGTCTTTTTCTGAAGGAATGACAGCTCTTTTACTGAGAAAGCATGAAAGAAGATAAGGAAGGTGAGCTGCAAACGAGATGTATTTATTTGTGGCTAGGAGAGTCAGTTAAGGGTTTGCTCCTGCAATGACTTGGATTTTCTAAGTGAAGTCAGGTCAAAAGTCATCTGCTGACTGAGGACAGAGTTAGGACAGGGTTTAGCATTGTGGCTTGAGATCATTAGTTGCCAGTATTTCTTTCTTTGGCATTGTTTTCTGATTAAAAAATTTTTGTGGGTACATAGTACATATATTTACAGATTACGTAGGATATTTTGATGTAGGCGTGCAATGCATAAAAATCGCATCAGGGCAAGTGGGGTATCCATCACCTCAAACATTTATCCTTGGTGTTACAAACAATCCAATTATACACTTTTAGTTATTTTAAAATGTACAATTAAATTATTTTTGACTATAGTCACCCTGTTGTACTAGCTAATACTAGGTCTCATTCATTCTAACTTTTTGCCCCCATTAACCGTTTCAACTCCCACCCCCTGCCACTTTTCACTACCCTTCACGCCCTCTGATAACCATCCTTCTACTCTGTCTTCATGAGTTCAATTATATTAGCTTTTAGCTCCCACAAATAAGTGAGAACATGTGAAGTCTGTCTTTCTGTGCCTGGCTTACTTCACTTGATATAATAACCTCAATCAAGTTCCATCCATGTTGTTTTAAATGACAGGATCTCATTCTTTGTATGGCTTTGTAGTACTTCATTGTGTATATGGACCACATTGTCTTTATCCATTTGTCTGTTGATGGGCACTTAAGTTGCTTCCAAATCTTGGCTATTGTGAATAGTGCTGCAATAAACATGGGAGTGCAGATATCTCTTTGATATCCTGATTTCTTTTCTTTTGGGTATATACCTAGGAGTGGGATTGCCAGATCGTAAGGTAGCTCTATTTTTAGTTTCCTGAAGAACCTCCAAACTGTTCTCCATAGTGGTTGTACTAATTTACATTTCCACCAACAATGTACATGTGTTCCCGTGTCTCCACATCCTCACCAGCATCCATTATTGTCTGTCTTTTGGATAAAAGTCATTTAAACCAGGGTAAGAATATATCTCATTGTAGTTTTTAAAAAAATAATTATCATACTTGTTTTTATTTGTCTTTAATGTATGTATAGGTCACATTTATTTTAATCCTTAATACTAGAAGTGTTTGGAGTCTTTATTTGGAAGTTTGGTGATGTTTTGTTTTTAATTTTTGATTTTATTTTTATTTATTTTACTTTTGGGTACATAATAGGTGTATATATTTATGGGGTACATGAGATGCTTCGATGTAGTCATGCAATGCATAATAATCACATCACATAAAACAGGGGTATCCATCATGTCAAACATTTATCCCTGTGTTACAAACAATCCAGTTATACTCTTTTAGTTACTTTAAAATGTACAATTAAATTATTGTTGACTATACTCACGCTGTTGTGCTAGCAAATACTAGGTTTCATTCATTCTTTCTGTTTTTTGTACCCATTAGCTATCCTCACATCCCCTCCACTACCTTTCCCAGCCTCTCGTAATCATCCTTCTACTCCCTATCTCCATGAGTTCAGTTGTTTTGATTTTTAGCTTGCACAAATGAGTAAGAACATGTGATGTTTGTCTTTCTGTGCCTGGTTTATTTCACTTAGCATAATGACTTCCAGTTTCATCCATGTTGTTGCAAATGACAGGGTCTCATTCTTTTTTGTGGCTGAATAGTACTTCACTGTGTATAAGTATCACATTTTTCTTTATCCATTCATCTGTTGATGGACACTTTAGCTGTTTCCAAATCTTAACCATTGTAAATAATGCTGCAACAAACATATGAGTGCAGATATCTCTTCAATATACTGATTTTCTTTCTTTTTGGTAGATACTTAGCAGTGGGATTGCTGGATCATATGGTAGCTCTATTTTTAGTTTTTTTGAGGAAACTTCATAGTGGTTGTACCAATTTATATTGCCATCAACAGTGCACAAGGGTTTCCTTTTCTCCACATCCTTGCCAGGATTTGTTATTGCCTGTCTTTTGGATATCAGCCATTTTACCTGGGGTGAGATAATATTTCATTGTAGTTTTGATTTGCATTTCTCTGATGATCAGTGATGTTGAGCACCTTTTCATATGTCTGTTTGACATTTCTATGTCTTATTTTGAGAAATGTCTATTCAAATTTTTTTGCCCATTTTTAATTGGATTATTAGACTTTTTCCTGTAGAATTGTTTGAGTTCCTTATATATCCCGGTTACTAATTGTTTGTCAGATGGGTAGTTTGCAAATATTTTCCCCCATTCTGTGATTGTCTCTTCGCTTGGTTGATTGTGCCCTTTGATGTGCAGGAGCTTTTTAACATAATGTGATTCCATTTGTCCATTTTTGCTTTGGGTGCCTGTGCTTGTGGGATATTACTTAAGAAATGTTTGCCCAGATCAATGTTCTGGAGAGTTTTCCCAATGTTTTATTGTAGTAGTTTCATAGTTGAATGTCTTATATTTAAGTCTTTAATCCATTTTGATTTGATTTGTATATATGGCAAGAGGTAGGAGTCTAGTTTAATTCTTCTGCATATGGATACTCATTTTTCCTAGCACCATTTATTGAAGAAACTGTCCTTTCTTCAATGTATGTTCTTTTCATCTTTGTCAAAAATGAGTTTGCTGTAGATGTATGGATTTATCTCTGGGTTCTTTATTCTGTTCCACTAATCTATATGTCTTTTTTAATGCTAGTACCATTCTGTTTTGGTTACTATAGCTCTGTAGTATAATTTAAAGTCAGGCAATGTGATTCCTCCAGTTTTGTTCTTTTTGCTTAAGGTGCTTTTGGATATTCTGGGTCTTTTTAGTTTCATATAAATTTTGGAATTTTTTTCTATTTCTGTGAAGAATGTCATTGGTATTTTCATAAGGATTGAATTAAATCTATAGATTGCTTTGAGAAGTATGGACATTTTAACAATATTAATTCTTCTAATCCATGAACATAAAAATGCCTTTCCATTTTCTTGTGTCTTTTTCAGTTTCTTACATCAATGTCTTATAGTTTTCATTGTAGAGATCTTTTGCTTTTTTGATTAAGTTAATTCCTAGGTATTCTCTTTTACTTGTGGCTATTATAAATGGAATTATTTTCTTGATTTCTTTTCAGATTGTTTACTGTTGGCATATAGAAATGCAACTGATTTTTGTATTTTCATTCTGTATCCTGCAACTTTACTGAATTTATGTGGTGTGAGTAGTAATATCTCCTTTTTCATCTCTGATTTTATTTATTTGGATCCTCTCCCTTTTTTCTTAGTCTGGCTAAAGGTTTGTCAATTTTGCTTATCTTTAAAAGACCAGCTTTTTCTTTCATTGTCCTTTTATATTGTTTTCTTCATTTTAAATTCATTTATTTCTGCTCTGATCTTTATTACTTCCTTCTTCTACTAATTTTAGGTTCGGTTTGCTCTCACTTTTCTAGTTCTTTAGGATGCATTATTAGGTTGTTTATTTGAATTTTTTTTGCTTTTTGATGAAGGCGCTTATAGCTATAAAGTTCCTTTTAGCACTGCTTTCATTGTATCCCACAGATTTTGGTATGTGTGTTTCCATTATTATTTGTTTCAAGAAATTTTTCAAATTCTTTCTTAATTTCTTTATTGACCAACTGGTCATTCAGGAACATATTGTTTGATTTCCATGTGTCTGTATAATTTCCAAAATTCCTCTTGCTATTGATTTCTAGTTTTATTCCATCATGGTCAGAGAAAATGTGTGATATTATTCAAAATTTTTTGAATGTTTTGTGATCTAACATATAGTCTATCCTTGAGAATGGTTGATGTACTGAGGAATAATTTTATTCTGCAGCTGTTGGGTAAAATGTTCTATAAATATCTATTAGGTCCATTTGATTTATAGTGCAGATTAAATTTGATGCTTCTTTGTTGATTTTCTGTCTGGAAGGTCTATCTGATTCCACAAGTGGGGTGTTAAAATCTCCAGCTGTTACTGTATTTGGGTCTATCTCTTTTTTAACTCTAATAATATTTGTTTTACATATCTGGGTGCTCCAGTGTTTGGTGCATATATATTTACAATGGTCATATCCTTTTGGTGGATTAATTCCTTTATCATTATATAGAGACCTTCTTTGTCTATTCCTATAGTTTTTGTTTTCAAATCTATTTTGTCTGACATAAATACAGATACTCTTGCTCTGCTTTGGTTTCATTGATATAGAATATCTTTTCCATCTCTTTATTTTCTGTTTATGTGTGCCCGTATAGGTGAAATGTGTTTCTTTTTTTTTTTCAGACGGAGTCTGACTCTGTTGCCCAGGCTGGAGTGCAGTGGCATAATCTCAGCTCATTGCAACCTCTGCCTCCCAGGATCAAGTGATTCTCCTGCCTCAGCCTCTCAAGTAGCTGGGGCTACACATGTGTGTCACCACACCTGGCTAATTTTTGTAATTTTAGTAGAGATGGGGTTTCACTATGTTGGCCAGGCTGGTCTTGAACTCCTGACCTCGTGATCTGCCTGCCTCGGCCTCCCAAAGTGCTGGGATTACAGGCATGAGCCACTGCACCCAGCCTGGTGAACCGTGTTTCTTGTAGGTAACATATCACTGGGTCTTGTTTTTTATTGTTGTTGTTGTTGTTTTTCTTATCCCTTCAGCCAGTCTATGTCTTTTGATTGGAGAGTTTAGTCCATTTATATTCAATGTTATTATTGATAAGTAAGGACTTTACTCCTGCCATTTTATTTGTTTTCTGCTTTTGTGTATGTGTATGTGTGATCTTCTCTTCCTTCTTTCTTTTCTTCCTGTCTTGCTTTTAGTGAAGCTAATTTTTTTCTGGTGGTATGATTTAATTTCTTGCTCGTTATTTTTTGGTTTATCTGTTGTGTGTTTTTTAATTTGAGGTTACCATGAGGCTTGCAAAGAGTATCTTATAATCCATTATTTTAAAACAAAAATGTAATCCTGTTTACATAAACAAATAGCAAACAAATAGGCAATAGGAACTAATAAATACTATACATATTAGCTTCATCCATTTTAACTTTTATTGTCTCTATTTGTATCTTATTGTACTGTGTATTCTTGAAAAGTTACTATAGTTACTACTTTTGATTGGTTCATCAAAAAGATTGGTTCTCTTTCTACCCAAGATCATTGTAGTTTACACACCACAATTACAGTGTTATAATACTTTGTGATTTTTTTGTGTACTTACTATTACCAGTGAGTTTTGTGCCTTCAGATGATTTTTTATTGTTCATTAACATCTTTTTCTTTCAGATTGAAATACTCTCTTTAGCATTTCTTGTAGGACAGGTCTGATATTGATGAAATCCTCAGCTTCGTTTATCTGAGAAAGTCTTTATTTCTCCTTCATATTTGAAGGATATTTTCACCCAATATACTATTCTAGGGTAAAAGTTATTTGCTTTCAGCATTTCAAGTATGTCATGCTACTCTCTCTGGGCCTGTAAGGTTTCTACTGAAAAGTTTGCTGCCAGATGTATTGGAGCTCCATTGTATGTTATTTGTTTCTTTTCTCTTGCTGCTTTTGGGGTCCTTTTTTACTCTTGATCTTTGGGAGTTTGGTTATTAAATGCCTTGAGGTAATCTTTGCGTTAAACGTGCTTGGCATTCTGTAACATTTTTGTACTTGGATGTTGCTATCTTTCTCTAGGTCTGGGAAGTTCTCCCTTTGAATAAACTTTCCTTTGAATAAACTTTCTATCCCACCTCCTCTTTAAGACCAATAACTCTTAGATTTGCTCTCTTGAGACTATTTTCTAGGTCCTGCAGACATGCTTCTTTGTTTTTATTCTTTTTTTGTTTTGTCTCCTCTGACTGTGTATTTTCAAATAGCCTGTCTTCACGTTCACCAGTTCTTTATTCTGCTTGATCAATTCAGCTGTTGGAAGGCTCTGATGTGTTCTTCAGTATGCCAATCGCGTTTTTCACCTCCAGAATTTCTGCTTGTTTCTTTATTCTTTGTGTTTTCCCAAGACAGCTATTCTGAATTCCCGGTCAGAAATGTCACAAATTTCTTTTCTCTAGGCCTGGTCTATGGTGCCTTATTTAGTTCATTTGGTGAGGTCATGTTTTCCTGTATGGTCTTGATGCTTATAGATATTCTTCAGTGTCTAGGCATTGAAGAGTTAGATATTTACTGGGGTCTTTGCAGTCTGGGCTTCTTTGTACTTGTCCTTCTTGGGAAGGCTTTCCAAGTATTTGAATGGTCTTGAGTGTAGTGATCTAAGCCTACTTTAGGGGGCACCCCAAGCCCAGTAATGTTGTGGTTCTTGCAGACTCATGAAGGTACCACCTTCGTAGTCTGGGATAAGATCCAGAAAAATTAGCTGGATTATGGGACAGAGACTCTTGTTCTCTTCTCTTACTTTCTCCCAAACAAATGAAGTCTCTCTCACTCTCTGTTTTGAGCTTCCTGGAGCTGGGGTTGGAGAGCCCCTGTGGCTACCATCCCTGAGTCTGTACTGGGTCAGACTGAAGCCCGGACAGCACTGGATATCTCCCAGGGCCCACTGTAACCACTACCTGGCTACCACATATGTTTGCTCAAGACCCTGTGTCTCTACAATCAGCAGGTTGTGAAACCAGCCTGGCTTATGTCCTTCCCTTCAGTGTGGCAAGTTCCCGCATGCCCCACATGGGTCCAGAGGTGCTGTCTGGGAGCTAGGGACTAGAGTCAAAAACCTTAGAAGTCTCTTTGGTATTCTATTGTACTGCAGTTGAGCTGGTAGTCAAACCAAGATATACAGTCCTTCCCACTCTTCGCTTCCCTTTCCACAGGTAGAGGTGCCTCACCCCATGACCACCACCATCACAAGCCCTCAGGGAGTACTACCAGGTTACCATCAATGTTCCTTTAAGTTCCAAGGGCTCTTCAGTCAGCTTGTGCTGAATGTTGCCTAGCCTAAGACTCAACCTTCAGTGGGCTCTTCTCTGGCCCAGGGCAGGTTCAGAAATGCTGTCCAAGTGCCAAAGCCTGGAATTGAGGACCCTAAGATCCCACTCAGTGGTCTACCTCACTGTGCTGAATTGGTACCTAAGCTGAAAGACAAAGTCTCCTTTACTTTTTCCTCCACTTTTCTCAAGCACAGGGAGTCTCTTCCTATAGCCACCATAGCTGGGAATGTATTGAGTCTCACCTGAAGCCAGCAAGTCTGAGTCTCACCCAAGGCTTACAAGATACTACTGGGTATTGCTGCTGGTTTTTCACGGCCCAGGGGCTCTTTAGTTAGCAAGTGATGAGTCCTGACAGCACAAAGTCCTTCCCTTCAAGGCAGCAGGTTCCCTTCTAGCCCAGGGTGTGCCTAGAAATGTTGTCCAGAGCTAGGGCCTGGAAAGGGGGCCTCATGACTCTGACTGGTGCCCTATCCTACAATGGCTGAGCTGGTATCCAAGATGCAAGACAAAGTCCTCTTTACTATTTCTTATCCTCTACTCAAGCAGAAGGATGGGATATATTTTGGAGCTGCAAGCTGTACAACCTGGGGTTAAAATAGGGTTGGCGCAAGCATGTTCTTAGCCACCCTGGCTGGTGTCTCAGTAAGTCACGTTCCCCCCAAGCCCACTGTCTCTGAGCCCAGTTCAGCACTAGAACTCATGAAGGAGTTGCAGTATTTGTATCCTAGACTTTCTTTCAAGTTTTTTTAGAGTCCAAGAGCACTTTAGCCCATGGTGGTGAGGCTCGCCAGAACTCAAGTTCTGATTTCTGGAATGGGTGATTCTCCTCTAGCTGGGCTACTTTAAATACTGCCTCCATGAATGGGCATCAGCTGAGTTAGCCCTGAGTTTTGCTTTCTGCTGTGACAGGGCAGCACTGAGTTCAATGCAGTGTTGCACAATTGCTACTCTCTCACTCTCCCAAGCCCATAGATTCTCTCTCCATGTCACATGGCCACTGCCAACAGATGTGGGAAGAGTAAAATTGGCAATTCAAGACTGTCTTCCCTACTTTCTTCAGTGCCTTTTTCAGCAATGTAAAGTTAAAACCAGATATTGTGAGTGCTCAGCTGATTTTTGGTTCTTTTGAAGGAGTTTTTTGGTGTAGATAGTTGTTAAATTTGTGTCCTTGTGGGGGTGAGGGTGGGGAACAGTGAGGCCTTCTATTCAGCCATTTTGCTTTGCCTTTCTCACCAGCATTTCTAATCTCTTATATTGTACAATCATTTCCACCTTTTATACTTAACTACAGGTATGATCAAATGAGAAATGTGATGCATAGAATCTGGGTTGTGATTTTGTGAGTCCATTAAAATAGAAGGGCATGAAGACAAGCAAATACAGTGATGGAACAAAAGCATCATCTAAGGAAAGGTGGTAAATTGGAAAAAAATTGAGGGGTTCAAATAAATGGACCTGGGTAAAAGTTGATATATTGTGAGTGAAAGGCTGAGCTAGAAGAATAAGAGGTTGCTGACAGGAGGCATGCTATTAATGCTAAAAGTATCAGTTGGAAAACAAAAAACTTTAAATGACATAATCCAGAGTATGACCCATGTGAATTACTTTTATGAAATTGTGGATGGAAATCACTGGAAATGAGGAGGTCAAGGAACTCTGAAGCTAGGCTATTTGATTGGTGATCCACAGGGCCAGTGGGTATTTCAGGATAGTGGCCATCGAGGAATGAGGTGGAAGATCATATGAGAGAATGAACAGGAGGTTGGAATAAGGCAGTAATGAAGTTGTGGAAAAGAAGGAGAAAACACTTTAATTGTTCATCAAAGTAACATTATTTCAAAAAATGAAGTCATCGTTTACATGGAATAAATACCAAAACTCATGCTTTTTTTATTTATAGATAGGAATCAGTTTGTCCTTGAGTGAGAATGGATGAGAGAAAATGTGGAGCTCCTGACATAGTAGCAGAGGAAAGATGATCACTACCACAGTGTGTTACTCTGATGCTTCAAAAAGATCAAGACATAATGCTAAAGCCTGATCAAAAGGTGTGTCCAGATTTTGGTGGTTTTTTTTTTGTTTTTGTTTGTTTGTTTTTGAGATGGAGTCTCATTCTGTCACTCAGGCTGGAGTGCGGTGGGATGATCTCCGCTCACTGCAACCTCCACCTCCCTGGTTCAAGTGATTCTCCTGCCTCAGCCTCCTGAGTAGCTGGGACTACAGGTGCCTGCCACCACACCCGGCTAATTTTTGTATTTTTAGTACAGATGGGGTTTCACTACGTTGGTCAGCTTGGTTTCGAACTCCTGACTTCCCGATCCATCCACCTGCCTTGGCCTCCCAAAGTGCTGGGATTACAGGCATGAGCCACTGTGCCCAGCCCCGATTTTGTTATTTAAATGAAGGCCACAAAGACAGTGGGTTGGGTGCCTGCTAGCAAAAGTTGAGAGACTAGAAAATCTTAAAGAAATGGATGTTGGGTGTTGCTGAAACAGTTAAAGGAAGGAATGCTGCTCTTATACAATATAAACAAAATACAAACAAATCCCCCACCCCACCCCACCCCACCCCACACACACTAGATGCTACAGGCTGAATTCTCACTCTAAAGGTAACCTTTGCCATGAAAAGCGAAAGATGATTAATTGAACAAATTGCTTAAAAGTTCTGGAAGAAAGTTTTCTTTCTAGATTAAAAATCTATGGTTCAGGGGCAGGCGCAGTGGCTCACGCCTATAATCCCAGCACTTTCGGAAGCCAAGGCAGGAAGATCATTTGAGCTCAGGAGTTCAAGACCAGCCTGGGCAATATAGTGAGACCCTTTCTCTATAAAAAGAAAAAATTTTTTTTTTCAAATCCATTGTGGTACTGATGGGGTAAATTATAGAGGAAAGCATACTTGGACATGATGTGTAGAACAACGTAAATCTCTGGAAACTCTGTTTCTGCAGAATGCATTGTCCCTCTGGGGAAATGGGATTTGCCTCTACTTTGACACCCTGTGACCAATTCAATTTTGCAGATCAGCATCATGCAAAGATTTGTTTATGCATTAACAAGATTTCCACCAAATAATGAACAGGGACATTTTCTCAGGCTACACAATTACCGGCCAATTCCAAGAAAGATTATGAATATTGTGTTTTCCTTTTCTACCACTCTTTAGGATTCTTGGACAAAAATCTAAGAAGGGAACAATTCCTTTAAAAGAGACATCTTGAGGCTCTAATAAAACAAAGGTTTCTACTTAACCTCAAACAGCAAAGGTTAAACTGCAAACTATTTGACACCAAAGTTATTAGAATGGTACAAATAAATAAATTTATCATAAATGCCAGAGTATAATTTTTTAAAAGCCAATCCCATGATGAACCAAAATTTATCCATTCATTAATCCACTTACTCAAGACAGACTTACGCTAGATGCCAGAGATATAATGATGAGCCTTGGTCAAAAAAAAAAAAAAAATGTTTTTTTTTTTTCAAAAGTTACTTACAAGTATTAAGTCATAGATACTCCTGATAGGAGGCAAATATGCTTCTTGTTTTTCACTTCTTGGGAGAACTTTATATGTAGTCTTATCTGAATTTACTCCAATAGTTAAATATTTGTAAAATGGATTCAGTATATAGCCTTATATCGATACTGTGCTATCAGTTTTTAGAAATAAAATGAGCAAGGCAGCAAGCTGAAAGAAATACTTCTATTGGTTGTTTACTGAAAAGTAGTTAGTTTTCAGCATCTCTTAGAAAAGAATGCAACTTGCCTACTCCAGTCAGAGAGGAAAATTCTATACACAAAATCCATCAAAGTCATTGTGAGAGGATTTGTTTGCTTGGAGACTGCAGGGTTGTTCTTTGAATAGCCTCCTTCAGGAAGCTGTACATTTCATTAGTTAAGATTCTACTTTTGAGGGAAGAGTAATCCAGGCATCTACAGCCTCTAAAATTATGTATAATTAACCACTGGTAAGCACTAACTAAGAAGAAAGATTTGCTGTCAAAATTCACTGTATTAAAATTGGAATTGAAAGCTGTAACAATAAAAACGCCAAGCTTTCTTAGAGCCATGTTGTATTCTTTGAAAGCACCAAAGAATCTGTTCAGCATCTCTAATGTAGGAATGCTGAGCTTTTTCTCTGGAGGACAGCACATTCATGAGTGTTGGCTGAGGGCTCACTCAGTCTGCGAGTAGGTCACAGGGTGAAATGGAGATTAGCTCAGCACTCATTCTGCTGGCTCTGTTGGCATTGAGATTTCATTTTCTTTACTCAAAGATTCTGTGGGGGAAATTGAGGGTAATATTCAGATGAGCTGAATGTCAAGTATTTGGAAAACTGTGAGAGTCCAACACAGTTTCTAAGAGCCCCAATCATTCTGAGCATTTTGATTGTGCCAGTAATTGTAAATCTCGTTTTAGCAGCCTGCACCCAGAGGCTCCACAGAAGACAATGATTCCTTAGAAAAGCTCGATTTGTATTACCTCTACTGAATGAACGAGGGCTTTGCTAGATTATTTTATTCTTCTCTCAAATTTAAACTTAAACCCACTGAGCGAATCTTCTAAAACTTGTAATCTAGCAAAAACTTTGAATCTGCAATCTAGCAAAAACTTTGAATATGTTGATGCAGAATATAGAACCATCTTACAGGCACTAATTTGAACAGAAAATATAAGTGTAACACTAAGGAAAACCTATATGAAGATCCTGTGAGCAGTGACATTTTTTTTCTATGTTAAGACAGATTTTTTTTTTTTTTAATACTGATCAACTATTGCTACTAGGGCAATTTGGGTTGCAAGTGTAGCCATCTAAAACAAACTAGTTTAAGCAAGAAAGCAATTGATTATGGGTTCAGCCGTGGCTGGATCCAGGGCCTCAACAATATTGTTAGCAATCTGTCTCTCTTACACCTTGCTGCCTCATTCCTCATCTCTGCTCTGCTTTCCTCTATGTCAACTTCATTCTCAGGCAAGGCATTCTTTTCTTTGTTTTGGAAAGATAGTCTTCAGTAACTTGATGTTTAATTTGACCTAGCTAGTAACCTTAAGGAAAAAGATTGCCTTCTTCCCAATGGTTTTAGGAAAAGCCATCTATAGGAATGACATTGATTGGCCTGGCTGGGAAGGGGATCGAGTCTGCATCTCACGAAACAAGACTCATATGTAATCATAACATGTTGGGGGTGCATCCCAGAACTCTAAATCGTATGCGGTTAGCAAAAGAAGAGGGAAAGGGTGTCGGTCGGGTAAATGTAACAGGTTGCAAGAATTAAAGTTCAAGTTATGTCTAGGGTCAAAATTTTATTGCAACAATTTGTGTGGAAATAAGGTAGATCAGAAACAATCTCAATCATTTTTGTTGAGAAATGCAGCCTAATTCCTATACCACTGTAGCTCCGGTAGTCTGACTGCAAGTTTGGAACAAAACAGCCACTCTAAAAATTTGCCACATCTGAGTCTTAGATTCTGGCATGCTTCCTCCTGTGGTATCCAACCATTATAGTGCTTCTGTTTCTTCTGTTTTTGTAGCTACTGACTCATTTCTACTCTTCATTTGTTCATAGTTTCTATTTATCATTCTCTCTTTATGTGTTTGTCATCTTCTGTACTACTATTTTTGTTTTATATTGTATTAATTTCTGCTTTCAACATATATTCTTTCTTCTATTTTCTTTGGAGTTTCTCTGTGGTCCTTCTAGCAATTTTTTATTTGAATAGCTCATTAATTTTTCATCTTTCTTTTTTTGTAATATATGCAGTTAAGGTTATAAATTGCCTTCTAAGTACTGCATTAGCTGTATCCCACAAGTTTTGACACGCAGTGCTTTCTATGTCATCCAGTTCTAAATATTTTATAATTCTCATTAAAATTTGTCTTTATTCTGTGACTTAAGAAACATTACTATGAAGGCTTATTATATATAAAGTACATGATTAAGTGAATGACTCAATGAATTTTACATATGTATACACTTGTGTAGCTACTGCCCAGATCAAGATATAAAACATTTCCAGCATCCCAAAAAACTTTTCTATGCCCCTTTACCCAAAATACCCTGCCAGAGGAAACCACTATTGATTAATACCATGGATTAGTCTTACCTCTTCTTAATATCATCTAGAAGGAACCATGTGTCCCATTTTGTGACTGACTTCTTTCACTCCTCATTATGTCTGTGAGTTTTATTCATATTGTAGCAACAGGTATTTTCTCCCTCTCCATTACTGGGAATGTATATACTTATTTGTCCATTCTACTCTCAAGTCATATCTGGATTGCTTCCAGTGTGGGGCTATTATGAGTAAAACTAGTATGAAAGTTCTTATAAATGTCTTTGCTGGCCATCTTTACTCATTTCTGTTGGGAATATAGCTAGCAGTAGTTATTTCTGAATTATAGAATAAGCATATATTTAGTTTTATTAGATACTTCCAAATTGTTTTTCAGAGTGGTTTTTACCAACGTACACTCAGTATATGTGTGAGAGTTGGTCATTCCACGTTCCATCATACTTGGTATTGTCAGTTTGTTTTTTTCTAAATTTTACTAATTTTGGTGTGAAGCGTAGTACTTTAATGTCATTTTATTTTTCATTTACCTGCTGACCATAATTTTAAACTCCTTTTTATATGCTAATTGGTCATTTGCATATCTTCTTTTATGAAATGTTAATTCAAACCTTTTTCTCATTTCTAAATCACATTGTCTTTTTATAATTGAGTTGTAAGAGTTCTTTGTGTATTCTGCATGTGTCTTTTTACAGATATCTGTATTGTGAATTTGTTCTCTCGGTAGCGTGTCTTTTCACTCTCTAAATAATCTCTTTTTATTAACAAAAGTTTGTACTTCAATGAAATTTTTTTTTTCTCTCATTGGCAGTGCTTTTAGGGTCCTGTTGAAGAAATGTTTACCCCCGTCAAGGCCATGAAGATATTCTCTTACGTATTTTTTAAAAGCTTCACTGTTTTACCTTTACATTTACGTTTGTGATCCATTTTATACTGATTTTTTATATTGTATACAAAAGTATCAAGGTTCATTTTA